ACAGAGAGAGAGTGAGCGACGTATGCTGATGGGCGGAGGATAAACTTGTGTGAGACAAAAGTATTTTCATATTTCAACAAAAGTCATCTTTCTAATGAAATATTTTAACTGAAAGGTAGAGCTGTGTTGTCTGGTTGAGGGCATTTTGAACTAATGTCAGGCCGGCACAAGTTGACTAGTTTTACATGACAAATCATCACGTTTTACAGTATTTCTTTATGTTAGGCTACGTCACATTTTTTGCATTTCATGGATTGTTTTGTTTCACATTATCCATGATTTTTGGACTTGAATACCATGTATTTTATGTACCGTTGAAAACTAAATATGTTTAATTAGGTTTAATCATTTTGCCCGAAAATGCTGTCTAGAACTGACATCAAGAACTACTCCTGATTTGTTTGTCTATTACTTTCAATCCCTTAAGCATTACGTGGTTATGAAAGGGTCAAAACAGTAGCAAGTAACTACAAATTTGCTGCAAGGGCACGACAGATTATACATTTGACAGTTCAAGCCGCGAGAGCAGTTCAAGGTCATTTGAAACTAAAACATTGTAACTCTGGTATAATTATTACGAAGTTGGCTGTAAAAACCTCATAATACCTGAGAAAATACACTGTATATTTGAACTTACAAAATATCACTTTTCAAACCACAGAAACATTAAAGAACTGCAAATAATCTAAAGTTATTGAAAGTGGTAATTTGGTAATTTTAACCCAAAATGTTTATAGTAAATAATACGTTCATGTTTTCTAACAAATGCCCTTGTGCAAACACATATGGCATGTTGTGAATTTGATTATGAGTTTGTTACTAAAATCATTCCTGGTCTGTTTGTGAATAACTATAGATTGCTGTAAGGATGCCACCTACTGGACATACTATCACACAACACTGATAAGTCAGTGCAACGGATACATTTCACATGAAATAAATGAATGAATGTCAACACATCTTATCAGATTGTGCTTCTTGAGAACACAAAAAATAACAATAAATCCCTTCAAAATATTCTGGATTATATTTTGGCCACAGAGTGCATTTATTACATATCCTTTTGCGTATTCAATGTCAAACAGACATATGACAACATAGCAAGTGCTTTATCTGTCTGTTACTAAATATATGTATTTTACAAAATCTACTCCACCAATATTGTGCTAAGCTGTGGCAAACCCTGAAGAGATCCACAGTTTACACTCTTGACCAGCTCACTAATGTCCTTGCGACACACCGGGCATTGCTTGGCAATGGCACACAGGACTTCCTTTAGAGCATCCTGTGAAGGTTGGTCTGGAAGACGACCACTGGATCCTAGCAGAGTGAAGATGTTCTGCAGCCATCCTTCATCTCTGATCAGGGTGGTTATCCAGGGCAGAGCTCCAACACAACCACCCAAAGCCTGCAAACTGAGCCTCCAGAGCTCTCCAGCCTCCTCCCAGTGTTCCTCCCAGAGAGCGCTGATCCGTGCCGGTTTAGAAGGCTGTCCGGGCTGCACAGCACTCAGGAGAAAAGACAGAACCGAGGAGAAGAAACGCCGCTGGCCAAGTTCTACAGGGTCTGCAAAGATTCAAGACACCCATTATTAAGCAGCAACAATAAACATATCCTGTATTTTTACATTTAGATTGCCTTTGCTGTCATCTAATGCTCACTTAAAAGGATCGTTATCCCTGAAAATTCTGTCCAACCAAACAGTTGCTGGTAGCCATATTTGGTTACCAGCATTCTTCTACGTTATTAATTCTGACAAAACGGGTCACATGAGGGTGACAATTTTAAATTTTAGGTGAACTATCCCTTTAAAGTTACATTTTCTAAACACTAATAATTTAGTAAAACTGTTCAAATTTAATCTTGTATTATTTAAAGCAATTAATTTTAGTTTTTTGCTTTTAATTCTTTTAGACAAAGTAGGATAGAATTTTAATATCCATATCTGCTCTTATTGTAAATGTTTCATCAGTGGACATTATTCCTAAGACAAAAACTGTTACATTTAAAATCTTTCATCAAAGTAATAACTAATAAAACCTCTGAAAACTCTTTCCTATTCAATGATGTCACCAAACACCAGTGTTATTTTACTATCATTGATATACAATTATAGCTTTTGTTAATAATTTGAATTGTATTTGTATAATTTTCAGTTTTTAATTGTGGTTAGAAATGTTCATAATTTTGTTGTGTTTTTTACATTTTTATTAGTTTCTGTTTTCCTTTTTAAATATATAGTTTTTATTTATTACTTAAACTAAATAAGAATGAGAAACGTTGCCTTGACAACTACCTGAAATATAAATATATTTTTAAGGTTTTCTTTTATTTCAGTAAATGATTATTTTATTCAAGTAATGAAAATGTTTTTATTTTTGTGGTTAAGTTTTAGTTTACATATATAATAATAACCCTGCCAAGCGTTTCTTTTCTTTAACTTACCTTTTTAGTTTTTTTATCAAATACATAATTGCTAAGATACACATCCAATAAAATGGTACGTCCTACTAACCAATTTGTATCATTTCAAGCCAGA